GCTGAACCTCTTCCCTTCGATACATTCTTCTCCACTTTTAATGTAGGCTCAAGTCTTCCTATACTGAAAACCTTACTTCCCCTCTACTATGCCATTGCTTTGACACATCAAACTCTCCTTCTCCTTTACCATCTGACTCTTTAAAACAGAAGTCTGTCTTCACTGCTGTCCATGTGCATCACCCCCCACTATCCAACCCCTCGTAGCCTGGCTACCAATTCCTCCTGCCACAGAGATAATCAGGGAATGCCCGGCTCAAAGCCAATGGTTTTTTCTTTATTGCAACCATACCACCATGGGGTGGGCTATATGAGTGATGGATGATGGAAGTGTTACCGGTAGGAGTGGGGTTCTTCGGTACTGCTGGAATAAGAATTTCTGGAGGCCCCCCCAGGAGGATGAGGTGCAAGGCTTTATTTCTGTGCAATTATGTCCCTGAGTTTCCAAGGTCCCATTTCCACTTGTCCCGCCAAGAAAGAAGGGTACCTGGGGCTTCAGTAGGGCTGGAATAAAAGCCAGTGTTCAGAGTTTCCACTCCCTATTGGAGCAGTGTCCAATTCAACATGAGGCTGGCATAGCTTGTATTCCTCGATGCAGTCCATCAGTCTATTGCATGTGGGGACCACATGGCAATGGAGGAAACACAGGCAAATGCAAGGAAGCAGGAGCAAAAGAGCTCCATGAGCCAAGAGTCAAGCGCAACAAGAAAGAGAACTCTTTTGTTTAGGGGATTATGTATTCCCAAATTTTCACACACTTGCAGGGGCTCCACTTACTCTAGCCAATGAGCTCTGTTCCCATATTTGACTGATAGGCACCTTCCCTTGTCACCCCAACTTCATTGCGCATGCATCTATCTCCCCTTTGTTGGACCCCTTCCCCCACTGTTTTACAGAGAATGGGCTGGTGATTCCCTGGGGAGTGTAAAGTTGCAGCTTTGTGGTAAAGCTGCCCAAATGACATCCCTATAATGTCCGGCCTCCTTTTCTATTATTAACAACTAGCTAATTACAATGATATCAGTAGCTCCCCCCACCTTTCCTAGCTTCCATGACACCATACTACTTCCACCAATTTTCTCTAGCTGCCACGTGTTTAATACAGTTTTCTTCTTTCTCTCTTCCCCTCCAATATTTAGCCAACCCAAGGACTGTACCTTTACCCTTTGCTTCTTCTCACTCTATTTTATTTATTTATTTATTTATTTATTTATTTATTTATTTATTTATTTTTGGTACATGCCTCTAGCAGGAACCGAACCCGGGACTCTCTGGTCCACAAGCCGACACTCCAACCGCTGAGCCAAACCGGCCAGGGCCTCACTCCATTTTCTTTATTGGCCATTCCTGAGATGTCAAAATTGCTCCTAAATGATGACTTACTAATCTCCCTTTGTAGTTCTAACCTCTCTCTGAAGACCAATGCCTGTGTTATAGTTCCTTCATTTGGATTAACTTGCCATGCCCAAAATGAAACCTTTTTTCTTCTCTTCCTCATCCTCCTTGGAACCTTCTGACAATGACCCAATCATGCTCTCAGCTGAGCCTGACAATGACCTTTGACTTCCCTGCTAAGTGCTCAGATTATTCCTGTACCCTGTCTCTTGAGTCTGTCTGTCTCTTCCTCTTTACTTCTACTGTCTCATATCCTCTTACCCATAATTGACTAGAGTCTATGTGGTCTCACTACTGCCAGTCTTTTTTCATTTCACTATGTCCAACACAATGCTATAAGATCATCACTCTACAGTACAGATGGATCCTGATAACCCTCCTCCTCAGAAACCTTCCATGGCTCCCTGGTATTTACTGAATAAAATCTGCATACAGGTTGTTCCATAATCTTGAAAGAATCTCTTTTTCACCTCATTACCTCTCTCATTACATCTCTTGGTATTCCCTGTGCTCTAGCCAAAGCACACTATTCTTTGTTCTCTGCACAGGCACACACCTTTCCACCACTAAGCCTTTGCTACATGTCCCTCCCCAAGTGTGTCCTTCCTTCCCTGCCAGCCCAAATGCCACCTGTATGGATCTAGCTCATCTTCTATCCCTTCCATGTAACCTTCCCTGATTCTTCCATGTGAAGTCATCGGTGTATGTTGTGAACTCCCACAGCACTGCAGAAATATGGCTTTTTCAGCATTTAACCATTTTCCAGCATTTTTATAGTTAGTTACATGCACCATACCCTGTCTCCCCTTCCAGTCCATGAAGTTCCTCTGGGTAGGATCTAAGTTTCTTTATTCCTCCAATCTCCAGCTCTGCCAACATTTCCCAAACCCTTTCCAAAGGTATATAGTGCCTGAGATGTAGTAGGCAATGAACAAATATTTGTAAAGGGTTAATGATGGATTTCAGGTTTGAAATTATCACAAGTTTAGCAACAATTACTTGTTCTTCATAGACTACAAGTCCCATTTCCACCGAAGTTTATTCCTTTCGCCCCCACAGGTCAAGTTTCAAATGTCTTTTATTTCCAAGTCTTCTGAAAAACAAACTTCTTTAAGAGATGCAATGATGAAAAAGAAAAGCATCCATGCTACTTTGAGTGAAGAAAATGCCCCCATCTAAAACAAATGGCTACAGCAAAAGGTACAACTGTGTGCCAGACTGAAGCACAGGATTCAAACTGCTGCAATAACCTTACCAGGCCAATCTTTAAAAAAGCCAGGCGTTGCGTTTTACAATGATCACAATTGCATTAGAAAGCAAATCACTAATTCCTGAGTCATCAATTGTGCTGTTGTAGAATTCTTCTTTTTCTCTACAGTGTATTTACTTTGGCAATTCCTATTATTCTTAAACTTTCTTGTAAGACATTTACATCTCTGGATTTTACATGCAAATATAAAGACAATAACTCTTTTTAAAAATACCTCTTATAATGCCTTTTAAATTCCTTAAGTACTTTTCTCAGAAAGAAATTGGCAGAACTAGTAAGAGAGTAAAGAAGTAAGATTCAAAATTCATTTTTATAAATCTATCCTTAAATCTTGGATGAGCTCCAACAATCTCACATTAAAATTTTAGAAGGTTTGACTTGAAGGACATGAAGTTTCGTGTTCACAGCTTCAGGAGTACCTGGTCTATATATCATCATTTATTAAGAGAAGATAAATAGGAAGAAAAAAACATATGCGGATAGCCTTAGTTTTATTATTTTCAGTGTAACAATGACATCATGTAACCGTTGCTAAGACCAAACAAAATGTTTTAAAAAGAAAAAGAAGGAAACCTCTGGCACCAATGTGTTGTATATTTGCTTGTGCACTGTGACTGCTACAAAGAGGACTGGGGCAGCCAGTTTGGATTCTGACAGCAATGCAGTGGACTCGAAGGTGTTACAGTTCGTATATGTTCTAAGCAGGTTAATCTAGTTACACAACATTTTAGTAAAGAAGTATCAATATATTAAGTTAAAGGTACATTCATGCCTACAAATACCACAGTACAGCCACTGGGAAGTCAAACTGCAGTGGACACTCATATGATTATGCTAGTTCCCTTCCTGTCTTCTCAACCAAATCCACACAAGCCTATCTTTATTACGCAGAAACAATTAAACAGCTATCAAATCTAGATTCAATTCTCTGTCCTGGTTCCCACTGGGTGACTTATTGCCAGCCTGACATTTGCCAAATTCCCTATTAGCGGCTACATTGGCTGAGAAAGCAGGTTCACCAACCTGGGACCCCATCACCTTGGGTCTTGGGAGATTTCAGTTCCGGAATGATACATGGCACCACCTAGCCATTGTGAAATCTGGGAGACTGGATGGCTCTAGCAACAAAAATAAAGTGTCCGTTTTCCTAACGAAAATGCCCTACCTGTGTGACATTTCTCAGGACAATCTTTTTCTTCTTTCTAAACAAGCCCACCACCACCACCAAATTCTTTATACAAACCTCTAGAGTTCATCCTACAGGAAGCAACATGAAGACCACCCATTCTGCAGCCATTAGGTTTCCAGTGTTTAAATGTGGAATGGGAAGGTCTAGTTGACATGCCAAGTTATGGGGTCTGAGAGAGGACTGTGGCCATTAAAGACCCTTCTCCACCAGGTCAGACAAGAGATAAACAATAGAAACTGCAGAGTCAGGGCGGCTAAGACCCTTACAGAACCGGCTGAGGAGAGAAGTGTCACAGGATAGAGGTTCCTTTCAAAACCAGGGACACCAGCCAGCCCAGAAGGAGTAACCATCATCCTATTTCCCTGCCATGCTCCCAAAGCCTCATGCACACTTCCACATCCCCACGTCAAGAGACCAGAGAAAGGAGAAGCGAGAATCCCCGCACCCGGCCATCCACACGCAGAAGCAGAACAGAGACTGTACTCAGAGTTGCAGGGTCAAAATAACAAACATTGTCCCACAGCCAGCGGTGACAGCGAGTCAGGGCACCAGCTGATCTCTAGGTTTGGAGCGCAGTTTGAGGAGCGTGGATGCGGCCACACGACTACACACACTCACACATGGGATTTTACAAATCCGCCCCTACCCTAGGACTCCCTCCACACTCACACACCAAGTGCATCCTGCCCACTTCACCGCTGCCATCACCACTCTTTCTCCCAGAGTCAGTAGAGAGATGAGATCCTAGCCGGGATTCCTGAAATGTCATTCCCCAACACATTCGGTCCACCACCCCCAATCCCGTTGGCTGTACCTTTTACACACACACACACACACACACACACACACACACACACTCCTACCATATCTGTCATCAGGCCTGCCCGCTGCCCCCAAAGCCCCGCATCTCAGTGCGCACCGGACACCACGGCTCCCTACCTTCAACTCCCCTTTCCCTCGCCCCGCTGACTCGATGGCTAATGGAACTGCCCCCTGCATGTCGCCGGCTGTCCCCGCTCATCGGCACTATTGTTCCACGAAGCCCCTCTTGCACCCGGGGGCGCTCTTCGGCGAGGACCCCGGCTCCGTCGGGGGCGGCATCACCGCCAGACACCCCCATTCACCCACCCTTCCCTGGCGGTGGTACCTTGCCTGACAGCTGGGTCCGCGGGCCCGCGGGAGCAGGAGGCGCTAATGACAGCGCCGGTGCCAAGCCTGGGAATAAAGCTCCGCTCCAGGCGCTCCTACCTCCAGCGCCACCATCTTCTCCCGCCGCCGCCGCCGCCGCCGCCGCCGCCGCCGCCGCCGCCGGGACTGCAGCCGCCCTCGCCCAGCTCCGGCTAGGGCTCCGCAGCCGCCGCTCGGGCCCCTCCGGTCCCGCGGCCCCACCCCCTTCTCCCCGCCCTCCCGCCCCTCGTGACGCGCGCCGGGCCGAGCCGGGCCCGCCTTCTCGGGAGGCGCGCGGGGGGAGCGCGCGCGCACACACGCCGCGTGTTAGTAGCGCCCCTGCCTCCCACGCCCACCCGCGTGCGCGCGCGGCGCGAGCCCGAGGCAGCGGGGCGGGGTCCTCCGCTGAGAGCCGGCAGCGGCGCCCCAGTCCCGGCTCCGGTGGGCGTGCGGTGCGCTGGTACCTCTCGCCGCCCCTCGCACCCTGGCTCTCGCCTGAGCTCCCGGACCCCTGTCCAGCTCCAGGCCGGGGGCACGGAGCGGGAGATGCGGTTGCATCCCGGAGGGGATTGAATGGGACCTCCATCCTCCTCGGAGGAAGCCTAAGGGGGTCCCCGGTTTCTGAAGCAGCAGCTGTGGCTAACCTCTGAGCGCAGGAACAGACGCGCTGCAGGACCACGAAGCTGGGCAGCCGCGTCGGCTCCTGCGGTGTGTTCTCTGCCCTTAGTTACTTCCGAGCTTTCCCGCTTCCAGGCTCCTTAAATAGTGCCTGCACCTCCCGGTCTGGCGGCCGGAGAGTACCCTCAAAATTGGGGATTGACGTTCTCTGGAACGCGCTGCCGTCCAACGTTTCCGCCACTAGGGGGCGAGCCTCTTGGGCTTGTGCCGAAGCAACGCTGGCCGCGTTAGCAGCCTTCGAGGGGAACTGAGTGTTGCGGGAAAAGCAGAAAGCCTCTGGATTCTGATGCCGGGAAATGCTCGTCTTGATTTTTCTGCTCACTTCTCAGTTCTTGTTGATCAGAACTCAAAGTGTATTTGAATCTGGTTTAGGGCATCAGCCCTAGATATCGCTGAAAGGGGGGAGGGGACCTTTGCAGCAGGGACCAGGCGGCAGGTGCCTTGATGAAAGGCAGTGCGCTGGACAGGCCACGGGCGACCTGGGTTCTGGCGCCAGCCTCACCTGTAATTGGCAGTGTAATATGAGCCAAATCATTCCTTCGTCGGGACACAGGTTGCTCTGTAATAATAACTTATATTTACACAAAGCCTTATACTTTGCAAAGCCCTTTTCATGCACATATTCTCATTTAGTAAAATGAAGGTAAGCCTGGGCTATCCCTTTGGAAATGGATCTTTTTTACCAGATCGCGTTTCCATCCAGACAAATCTGGGGCCTGGCCTGAAGCATATCAAAGTGTTGTGTTTTAGCTTTAAAATTTGTATGAATTGTGCATTCTACTCCACAATAAATCTTTTTTCCTTTAATAAAGAAAAACTAGCTCCCCTTCTCCCAAAAGATCTTTTAGTAAAGTTAAACTATTATATATTAGGAAGATGTATCATGCTTGTCCTGTGACATTACATATTCTTTTTCCCCCCAGCAAATATTTGTTTGGCATGTATTCCAGATACAGTCTTTGTTCTTCCAGAGCCCACAGTAACCTGGAGGAAACAGGAATTCAACAATTAGACTCATGATTAAGTGCAGCTATGATAAATTCTCAGCTGCAAAGGTGCTAAGGGTTCACAGGGAAACCTAACCTAGACTCCAGGATAAGGTAAGGTTTTCCAAGGGAATGACCTTTCAGGTTGCCCAGCAGAGGCAGCACTGAGACACTGCCAGGTAGAGGGAAAATGCTCAGAAGCCCACCAGGTGGGGCTGAAGTCAGAGGGAGCGTGCAGCGGGCTGGAGAGGCAGGCAGCAGTAGCTCCGACCGCAGGGCTTTGTGGGCCATTTTAAATAGGGGTTTTTTATTCTTATAAGCCTCGGAAGGTTACTGAAAGGCCATAGAGTTGGGAACTGGTGGTCTTGGTCATATTTCAGTTCCTGAAAGATCGGTGAGATAGCTGTGTAAAAATCAATTCAGGAAGGGTAGGGTCTAGACTAGAGAGACTTGAGCCTGTGACACATCCTGCCTGTGCTACTTGGCGAGCATTTAGGGTTTTCAGTTTCTACACTAACTGCTCTTTTGTTTTTTTAGTTCTTTCTTCTGCTTTCATACATACCAATTTGAGGGGCTTTCAGAGTTCTTCTCTGTAATAGTCCCTATTCTGTTACTTTTAATCTGCTGTGGTTTTAGGAAGGACATTAACTAACCTTATTAGAATTTCAGATTACGTAAGGGAATATAGGTTCTAGTGAGAGGCTCTTTTCTGTGCATGCACTTGGTGTTATTTGATTTATGTCAGAAATCATCCTGCTTATTTTATACTTTTGCATTGTGTTTCCAGTGAGGCAAAGTTCCTTGATGCAGGAAGGAAAGTTACATTATTGCTTTAATAATACCTTCCCCTCCAATCCTGCAGCACAGGATTTTTGTGCTGATTAATGAAAGTATGTGAAATTACTCTGCAAAGTATTAAGTGCTATATAAAGAAAAGTAACATTGTTATAATGGCAGCTTGGAGACCTCCAAAACTAATTAATTACTAAATACTCATATTTGGAAAACTCCCTCCTTCCTCCTTCCCTTGCCCCCCCCCCCCCCACACACACACAAAACACCAACACCCAGATATGCCTGTTCCTCACGGACGGTGTGAATCATTGTCGTAAGAGCTCATGTTGCTCTTAGTGCCTTGGCTGGCAGGAAACTCAAAGCCAAATTTGCAGATCACTGTAGGAAATGGGTGGATTCATATGTCATTCATTTTTATATCCTAGCTCTTCCTTTGGCTTTGTTCTTCTAGTCTATAATTATCCTATGCCTGCACTATTGGTATTTTTCTACTTTATTATAGGTATTCTTATGCCCACTTCAAATATTTGTATCTACCTACTTCTTTTAACAAAGGTCATAGCTACTTTTTGGTGCTTCAGAAGCAGTATATAAAATACTGGCCACCTGCCAAACATTGTAGCCGATAACAATACTATAGATGTTGTGCCAAGTGACTTGGCTTTAAATTAAAGCCATGTCCAGCACTGTGTGTGGGTCAGAAGTCTCTGCATTCCAGTTTAGAGCCTCGTGACAGGCAAACTCGAGTTTGTCTTCCACTGACTCACAGATAATTTCCTTTAGTGTGATCTCTGAGGTTCCAAATTCCTTCAGCCTGCCCTGTCCTTCCAGGTTTATCTCACTGGTACAAGCACTATTTGTCACTTGATAAGGCAGGAGGGATCCATGAACTTTTATTCATTTAGGTTTATTTTTGTCAGTAAAGAATCAAAGATTCAGCCTGGCGGGTTTGGCTCAGTGGTTAGAGCATTGGCCTGCGGTCCAGAGAGACCTGGGTTTGGTTCCTGCTAAGGGCACGTACCTCAGTTGCAGTTTGTCCCTGGCCCTGGTTGGTCATGTGGGTGGCAGCCACTCGATGTGTCCCTTTCACGTTGATGTTTCTCTCTCTCTCTTCCTCTCTCTCCCTCCTGCTCTGTCTGAACAAAAAATGGAAAAATGTCCTTGGGTGAGGATTTAAAAAAAAAGAAGCAAAGATTCCAGGATTCACTAAATTCATTCAGACTTCACGAGAGTATGTCTTCCAGCCTTTTCCATGATTCTGGACAGCCAAACTGGACTTGTCTCTTCTGATAGCAGTAGATTATTTTCCTTGATTTCAAGTTCCTTAGAGATTACCTTCTTTCTCTCTTGGTCCTTGCATTTAAACTTATGAGCTGAGGTTGAATGTAGGCTGAACACTCAACAACCTTCAGGCAATGAAGGTTTTCTTAAGAATTTCAGTTCTGCTAACATTTGGTAATTCAGCAACCTTTCTAATCGATAGTATAGACATTTTTGTCACAGGATCTAAATGTATCAACAAAATAAACAATTATGAAATGTATGTATCCTACACGTCAAAACATTTACTTTTCTATGCTGATTCTTATTTTACCAGCTTTTTCTCTGGACACAAATTCTGTCCTGGCTTCACAATTTCCCTTCTTTTTCTTTCCAATCTCCAAACAGGCTCCCTCTCTCTCTTTATGTTGAATCGTCTTCCTTGTGCCCTTTAATTATTCCAGCCAGAATTCTATATCGTGGCTGTGTTTATCTGATACACTGGAAGGCATTCTGGTGCCAAATATAGTAATTCTACCTCCGAACATAGAATTTCTGAGTGAAGCTTGTCATGGGAACATACTGTCTTTTTAAATGGTTCTATGCCCAGCCCTGAAGCAATCTCCATGGACTGTGGCACGGCCCCCACTTTTGGCACTGGGTCAGGCTCCCCAAACCACAAGTCTGATCAAGGATAGATCAGAATCTGGGAACCACAAAGAGTGGTTCAACTCCCCTGTTCGTCTCAGGCTCACAAGCAAGCATGACAAATGAGAAATGTGTACCTAAATGTACAGTGATAAGGAAGTTGGTACGTAGATTGCAATATCTTTACAGTGGTATATTATATGTCCATTAAAGATATCAGAGCCACAGATTTTATTAACATGAAAAAATTGAAATTCTCATCTTAACTGAAAACAAACAAACAAACAAACAAACAAAAAACTGGATACAAAATTATGTATAGGCAGTTACAAAGTGCCCAGAAAAAAAAAGTACATCAAAATGTTAGTAGTATTCCACTTAAGTAGTATGGTTATTTTCCTCTTTCTATGTCTTGTTTGTTTGTTTATTCTTACAGTGTACATCTGACCTTAACAACTTGAAAAATAGATGATTTAAAATATGGTATAAAATTAATGTTACCACCACTGCATTTTCAGAGTACTCTTTCCAGATTTGATTTATCCTTCCAGGCTGGTTTCAGATACCATATACTTCAAGAAAATGATTTCAGACTCTGTTGCGCCCGTTGATGTACCTTCCTGTCTGAGCATTTGTCTGTAGCATTAGCAGCGGTGTCAGGCTATAAATAGACAGAATTGATAAAGTTGTTTGCTCATTCTGCTTAACATCTGTTTATATACTTGG